GAGGTCACCTAGAAAGAGATGTGGAGCTAGAAGAGAAGACGTCTTGGGAATGAACCCAACAAGAACTGCAAATGGGGTTGGGTAAGGACTGACTGTCGAGGTAGGAAGAAAACCAGAGCCTGGGAGGCTTTTCTTTCTTTCTTTTTTTTTTTTTTTTGTCTTTTTTGTCTTTTTCGTGACCGGTAAGGGGATCGCAACCCTTGGCTTGGTGTCGCCCGCACCGTGCTCAGCCAGTGAGCGCACCAGCCATTCCTATATAGGGTTAGGTGGGGTTATCAGGTAGGCAGTTAGATCTATGAGGATGGAGATTGGAGGAGAGGTCTGGAGATGGACGTAAGGTGAGAGTCATGAGCGTCAAGATGATCTTTAATGCATGGCTGTTGATGAGGTCACCTAGAAAGAGATGTGGAGCTAGAAGAGAAGACGTCTTGGGAATGAACCCAACATTCAGAGGCAACAAGAACTGCAAATGGGGTTGGTAAGGACTGACTGTCGACGTAGGAAGAAAACCAGAGCCTGGGAGGCTTTTCTTTCTTTTTTTTTTTTGTCTTTTTTGTCTTTTTTGTCTTTTTCGTGACCGGTAAGGGGATCGCAACCCTTGGCTTGGTGTCGCCCGCACCGTGCTCAGCCAGTGAGCGCACCAGCCATTCCTATATAGGGTCCGAACTCATGGCGGGAGCGTTGCTGCACTCCCAGTGCTGCACTCTCCCGAGTGCGCCACGGGGCCGGCCCCTGGGAGGCTTTTCTGAAGGAGGGGGTGGGGCTCTGCAGAATGATGAGGGGGGTTGAGCAAGCTGTGAGCAGAGAGGTGTCTAGTGGACTGGCACTGTGGGGTGCACGAGCAACCTTGACCAGAGCAGTTCTTAGGGTCTGGTTGGAAGGGGCAGAAAGTGAGAAAGTAGATGTGGTGTGTGTGGACAACTTCACAGAGAAGTTTAGCTGTGAAGGGGACTGATCAATGGGATGTAGCTAGAGGGCTCTGAGGCATTATAGGGGATTTTTGTTTGTGTTTAGAATGG